GTAAGACACTTACCGCTACAGTAACAACACCTTAGGTAAGACACTTACCGCTACAGTATCAACACCTTAGGTAAGACACTTACCGCTACAGTATCAACACCTTAGGTAAGACACTTACCGCTACAGTATCAACACCTTAGGTAAGACACTTACCGTTACAGTATCAACACCTTAGGTAAGACACCTACCGCTACAACTTTGCAGTCCTTCTCCAGGTTTGTTTCAAGAGGAACTAGTAGATCCACGTAGAATGCTTTCAACTGTAATACAATAGTTCTTACTTTAGTTTCACTAAGAAATAATTAACGTATATTAAAACCACTACGACAGTCAGACAACGTTCCTCTTCACTTACAATTAAAGCACTAACAAAGACAGACAACGTTCCCCTTCACTTACAATTAAAGCACTAACACAGTCAGACAACGTCCCCTTCACTTACAATTAAAGCACTAACACAGTCAGACAACGTTCCCCTTCACTTACAATTAAAGCACTAACACAGTCAGACAACGTTCCTCTTCACTTACAATTAAAGCACTAACACAGTCAGACAACGTTCCCCTTCACTTACAACTAAAGCACTACGACAGTCAGACAACGTTCCCCTTCACTTACAACTAAAGCACTACGACAGTCAGACAACGTTCCCCTTCACTTACAACTAAAGCACTAACACAGTCAGACAACGTTCTCCTTCACTTACAACTAAAGCACTACGACAGTCAGACAACGTTCTCCCTCACCTACAATTAAAACACTAAGACAGACAGACAACGTTCTCCCTCACCTACAGTTAAAACACTAAGACAGTCAAACAACGTTCTCCCTCACCTACAATTAAAACACTAAGACAGTCAGACAACGTTCCCTTTCATTTATAATTAAAGCACTACGACAGTCAGACAACGTTCTTTTTCACTTACAATTAAAACACTACGACAGTCAGACAACGTTCCCCCTCACTTACAATGTTGATCTGTTGAGCTTGTACTTCCCTTTGAACATCCACTAACTGCATCAACGCCGTCCCTGGAAAATGTTAGACGGATTTTTACAAATTTCATGCGACCAGACAAAGGAGAATAAAAGTTAATTGCGACAAGTATTAGGAAAATATATATCGCAAGTATAAAATAGTATGTAGGGCTGGCTACTGAACCAACCAAGATCACTTTATCTGGCTAATGATCACCTAGCGGTAACAATAGACTAACATTTTACGACTGGAAAGTCTGGTTCTATTTCTTTTGCCAGTGAGGAAGCCAGCAATGTATAGATGAACTGTTAATTATCCGCGATAAAGTTTAGAAAAATGTTCACTGTAAATGTGATTTATAACCCTATTTTACAAACACAGAGGATTCATTTCATTATCATTATAAACAATGTACGTAATTTATAAGTTATCTTTATTTCACTGTAAACAATGCATGCGGTGTTCATCTTTTATTTTACATGTTCCGGCAATGTAAACAGTTGAGCATTTTCACCAACATCTATCATGAAACTACTGTTAGCAACAGACTACACGTGTACTTCTATTAGTGTTCACATCTAGTCCTAATATTACCGTAGACCTGCAGTTGTTCACAATCTACAGCCCGTTTGTGAACACTAAATGGTACTTCAGGAGGTCCGGAGTCATATCCGAAATGTCATGAAAATATTAACAAAAATAAAAATAGTTCTTGTAAAATTAAATCTATACGAATTAAAACATTTAAATTCCTCAGATTACTTAAGTTTGAGAACAACTGTAACTAAAGTAGTTACACGATTTGTAAAAGAAAAACGTTGCGTCAAAATTATGGAAAGCAGCAAGTAGTGTTAGAACCGTCACCATTTATTTAAAAAGATAGAACAGTTTTCTTACAGATGGCGCTGTCTCAAGACACACGGAACGCGTGCACTAAGTGGGTAAATAGTACTCTTGTAAGTGCTAAGTTAGGTTTGTGATAACGACGTTAAGACAACTTGTAATTGTCGTGTTGCCCTGGAAACGGTCACATTGAACCCAGTTAGTAAACTAAGAAACGGTTAGGCCTCATTATCGAGAGTTAAAATACTTCTGTAACTAAACTTTTAATAAAAATCATTAATTACATTGCACAAATAAAAACTTTAAAATAATTGTGGTATTTTACCCTTGTAATATAACTGTTTGATTGATAAAGTTCAAGAACAATCTAAAGTTCCATGTTGCACGAGCAGGTACTTGTATGTCGGCTTCTTCATGCTAGCGACAAGTGGCCAACAGGTGTTGTTGAAAGTACGTAGTTTAAACCTTCAAGCGCTTTGTGGAATACTTATAGCTGCTCTGATTTACTGGTATAATCAACAAGTTTAAGTGGTATTAGAAACAGTTCACTCCTTTATTATCAGTTCCCTGTTTGGATGTGGTTCTACTAATTACATCCGAAACTCATTACACAGGTACAAATGTTTAGTCATCTCAGAACTAAATGTCACGTGTTAATCACTAAATTAACGACATTTGGATAAAAATTCAACACACACACACAAACACACTTTGTTTGCGCCATAGGAAGTTGTGTGCTAAAAGGTAGAAGTTAATATTTTCCTAATGTGAAATTGTATTTCCGATAGATACTTACCTCCCTCTCGCACAATATCTTTTCTCGATTAGTACTGCACTCTATCGGCGCAAATTTTCAACACTTACCACTAGCCTACGACCTCCTGCTTCATCATATCAAAAAAAAAAGAGAAAAAATCCCACCTCAGCGGACCGCACCATATATAATCCAGATATTGCGAACATAAAAGGCGGAAAACCTGAAGGAATTCCATGACACATATTACCAAATAATGGGATCCCTAGGTGTCGAGTGGCTAGGGCGTGACATTTTATAATGGTAGTTCGACCTCATCCAACAACAGGCAGTATCTAGAATGGTACAACAGTTCCACAGTAGGTAGAGGATCACCTCGAAACGGAAATTGGTAGGGAAGACTAGCATCCGTACCAAAACCCGTCTCCACTTGAACGAATTTCCAACCCAACATCCAGCAGATGGTAGAAGAATGAAAGCCCCAGTGGGATGACATGTCTGGTCCAAAACCTGGCGATATTTGGTATG